AATAGTGGAGGGAAAAGCTATTAAAAATAAACAAGAAATTCTTGGCTTGTTGGCGGCTCTATGGCTGCCTAAGAAGTTGGCTATCATCCACTGCCCCGGGCACCAGAAAGCCAACACGCCCATAGCTCGGGGAAACCAGAGAGCAGACCGGGTTGCCAAAGGAGTAGCTTTGGAGGCCTTCCAGATTTTGCCAATCCAACTGCCAGATCCTGCCCCCCCCAGTCCTACCTGATCAGCCTCACTATTCCCAAGAGGATATGAAATTGATACACAAACTTCCCATGGCCCAAAAGATCGAGGCTTGGTGGCATACAGGAGACTGTGCCTCATGTATATCCACCGAACCACTCATCTGGGCACCAGGAAAATGGCTGATCTTTTAAGAAATGCTCATTTGAAAGTCCTGAATCTCTGCCCACTGTTGATGCAGTTGCCTCTGCATGTCTTAGTTGCAAGCTGACCAATGCTGAGAACCATCCTAAGGAACAAGGGGCTCGGATGAGGGGCTCTAGACCAGGGGCCCACTGGGAGATGGACTTTACAGAAGTTAAGCCAGGCAAGTATGGTTACAAATATCTACTAGTTCAGGTAGACACCCTTTCAGGATGGACTGAAGCCTTCCCCACCAAGCATGAGACTGCTCAGGTGGTAGCCAAGAAACTGCTGGAGGACATCTTACCCAGGTATGGCGTCCCAGGCCTTCTGAGCGCCAACAACGGGCCAGCCTTTGCATCACAGGTAACCCAGGAAATAGCTAGGATATTGGGGGTAAGATGGAAATTACATTATGCGTACAGGCCCCAGAGCTTGGGACAGGCAGAGAGGATGAATAGGATTAACCAAATTAACCATGGAACTGGCGGGGACTGGGTGGCTCTCCTTCCCTTCGCCCTGTATAGGGTGAGGAACTTACCCTATCTGCTAGGATTGACCCCCTATGAAATCATGTTTGGGAGACCCCCCCCCATCCTTCCCAGTCTAAGAACTGAACTAATTGCTGAATTTGATAACCGACAGTTGCTTGATTCTCTAGAAGTGGTGCCTCGGGCACATAGGGACGTATGGCCCTGGCTGAAAGCTATCTATGAGACTGCTCCCCCTCCTACCCTGCACAACTACCAGCCTGGCGATTGGGTCTATGTCCGCAGACACCACCAAGAGACTTTGGAACCTCGCTGGAAAGGACCATACGTAGTGCTCCTGACGACCCCAACAGCAGTGAAGGTAGATGGAGTTGCCACCTGGATCCATCACACTCATGTCTGACTAGCAAGTTCCTACCCAGACCCAGACAACCATCGCCCTCCGTC